GCGGGCAACCCTTGCGAAGACCAGAAGTCTCTCTCTACTGCACCCACCACTGCCTACCCACAACCCATCTCTTCCGCTAGACCAGAGAGATTTGGCCGTCTCCTGTTCGCAATCAGCCATGTCGCATCCATCCATCAGTGCGATCGGATCGCTGCAAGCCATCCGCGCTTCCAAGCACACGGATGCTGCTCTGCAAGGTGCTGCCTGGCCTTAAGGCTTGTTCGCTGTAACGCTGCTGCACCTACCAGGGTCTTTGCCTGGCACTGGCAGGCTGGCATGGTCCCACGCACAATCATCTCTTGTTGTCCGAAGCAAAAAAAAAATCGACTTGTCGCTGCGTCACTAGTATGTATGTGTGTACTATGTGTGTGTACTGTACGTAGGTAGTAGCCTGAGGTAGCCACCACCACCATCATCATCATCATCATCATCATCATGGCTGGTCCTTGGCCTCACACACACACACACACACACACACACACACACACACACACACACACACACACACACACACAACGGGGCACACCCCCCATACCCACACTCAGTACACTCAGCACACGCACTCACCCAACACATAGGATGGCTCCAGAGACCACCACGACGCCTATATCCTCTTTTCGGATCTCCCAGCGCCTGCACCGACCTTTCTACAATTTGCTCAAAAATGCAACCCGGATCCCGCTGCCAATGGTATAATTCGCACGGGGCTGCAACGCTGATTCGCCCTAGGCGGCCCTTACCGACGAACCCCTTCTCTGCCAAGCCCGCTATCGCCCAGGGGTAGGTCAACGCAGCCTGAAACCTGCAGGCATCCCATCGCTAGCTCGCCAGCCTCTCCGTACTCTGACAGAGGACCAGAGACAGAGAGAGCCCTGAACATCATTTGGTCAGCCCAACGCCCTCTGCTGGTCGGCGATACACCTACCATGTACGCACAGGATTTTCGCAGGGTCTCTTCAAGCGCAATCATACCCTTGGCCTCACCAACATGACTTGATAGCAGTCGAATGGCAATCAAAGACATGGATGCTGCTTTACTTACTGTGGGTACATAGGGGGATCATTCTTGAACGCCCATGTTCTCGGCGCGACAGAACACGACCAGATCGTCTCCAAAGTCTACTGTACACACCTACCGATGGTTTTCCAAGTCAGGACCTCTTCTCAACAACTGCCCGACCTGCCAACCTGACTCCTGCTCACCTGCCGCCTGCAGCTTCTCCGATCCCAACAACGGCTGTTTTTGTGCAATCAATAGACTGCTGCAATCCACGGCTGTCTCCTGCGCACCGCCTATACGGACATTCAATAGACGGCCGCTCTTTCCATCAGAGAAAAAAAAACCTTCTGGAAATTGTGATCGTGAACGTTAGCGTGCGGGGAGTCGGGTATAGCGAACGGTTTTGGCGAATGGCTTCTTTTACACGCTATCACCGGCTGTCCCCTCCGATGGAAGCGAAGCAGGGGCCGTCTTCTCGAAAGGATCAGCATCTGCAGCGTTAACCCTGCCGACACGTGGAACGCAGTTTTGTGGAACCTCTGACTAGCGACTGGTAAACAACCCGCAAGCCCGCCCATTCATTCCTTGCGAGACGGCCTCCAGACGGCCGAATGGCGCCGACGCACAAACTGTATGAGGGATACTATATTGTGGTACCTATCATCTATACTGCACGGTAGACAGTGGTATCAACTCTGCTTGCAAAGTCGATCTTCGTCACGTCCGTTCGGTCCGGTCAGCAGCTTGACAGAACCCACCGGTGGGACAGCATTAGCCGGTGGATCTGGCCGCATCAGGTAATACGGCTGGTGCTTGTTGCACATCGCAACGTTGCACGCACACACCCTCTTTTCCTCAACCCTGGAATCAAACGTTGAGATTACAACAGGTCGACTTTTCGTCATGCAAGCTCAGCACGGTTGGGAAGATCAGACCGCGGGATTTCTTCTGCTAATTCGTAAAGTGCAATCGGCGTCCCCGATTTGACAACCACAACTACTTGGCCATGGTCGTGTGCCGCGGACGAGTACAAGCTTCAGCAGCTTCCATCGTCGTAGGCTACTTCGACCAATCCTTTCACATCCTCTTGTAGTGCAACTTTCCTCAGTCTCTCGTTCCTGAAATGACTCCCGCGGCTGCTTCAAACGCTTGTCACAGACCTGATTGATTGTTGTACGACAAGCTTTCTGTTCGAATACCGATGTTGAGTTTATTTTCGCATCGTTCCGCCTTCCGCTGCTGCCGTACGACGTTGCGAAGCACGCCAAAATAGGCGCCTTGCATAATCGCTCTGGGCACCCATGAAGGCTGGCTGACAGCAGGCAGCGAACACCAGTTCACTCATCAGTGGACAACTATATGAACCCTTCGCGCACATGGGCGCTTACGAACAACTGTTAACGCAATCTTCTCACCTCAGCTCGCTGACAGCTCGAAGTCGGACTTTGACGAGATGGAAGTTTGGTCTATTCTCGGGAATGGTTACGCCAACCGTTGCAGTTCAAACCTATGCCTTGCTTCATCATTTCTTTCACGGAAGAAGCGGAGACTTGCTGCAAGGTCGATTGTTCCTGATACGCAATCGAAAATCACGGCTACACTTTATCGATATGGTGGCGGTTTTCAACCCTGCACTTGTGATGCGCCAATCGCTCATTGTAGCCTTTATTGTTACGCCAACGTTCAATCCTAGGACTTTATCATCTCGGTGCAAAATAGGAGTTGCGCATCGGAATCCTCCAAAAGGACGCAACAGCCTATTACATGCCCCATTTACGGTTTGTTTCCAAACCTGGTCCCCGGTCAACGGCAACTCAACACATGCCCCGTCGCAAGCGTCTTGCACACTGCAAGCCTCTTGCATATCGTCACAACTGCCACTTCTGCACGCTTACCTCTTCTGACCCAGGGCCCCGGGACTTGAGAAATAGAAACTTTCCTAATGTGGTTATCGCACGCTATCGGCACGAAGTTGTCCTCGTCACCTTTTGGTCAGATTCCATCACCTGTGCTACGATAGCATCACGGATGGATGGTCGCACTTGCATGAGGGATGTATTCTGGTCATTACAAGACGCCTCAGCTTTTGCGCTGACAGTCTCGTGGTCCAAACGACAACATCACTTTCAAAGGCGGACGCATGATTACATCTGCACCAAGTCATCCCTCTCTCATCCGATTCTGATGTGAGAACAGATTTTCATCTATCCAGTGTTCCTAAAGCACGTGGCGCAGGGACCCGTAGAAGAGAGCGTGAGGCTCATTTTCGTAGAAGAAACATCAACCCATCATCCAAAGAAGTGCATGGGACGACAAAGTAGGATCCACGAAAAAGGACGACCACTAGTCCAACTTCCAAAGCCATCCAACATGATTCATATTCATATCACGGACTATACCGCATGTATCACTGACTACGATTGACCCCCTATGAGGCACCTAGCGTTACAAAAAACAAGGCAAAAAAAATGAGAAAATAAGGGTTGAACCTATATATTAACCACGCATCGTACAACCTACCGCGCCCGTCATCCCCATATACGACTCACCACCTCAAGAACTCTCTCTTTTCAAAGTCTTAGACTTGAAGCAGAACAACTGGCATTTTGGCACCGGAGACGCAAATAGACTCTCGTGCTCAGCATCGACCGCGCTGGTGCAAAGATACCTCCTACGCTTGCATAGTGGGTATGGTGCTGAACATCTCGTTGGCAACTTATTGTTCTCGTACCACATGGAAGCCCCTCCCGCTCGATTCATAGTTGCATCTGCAAGTAACCACATGTGGCGTACTGCACTACCAAGGCATCACCTCTGAATACATCGATTAGCAGATTCACTGGCCGACTTCCTCTTTACCGGCAAAGAGATGCAGGGCTATCTTGGTCTTTGTGCATATTCATCACCAGCAAAGCTAGTGTTATCACAACACGGCCATGTTCGCGAGCGTCCTACGTAAGCATATGGACCAACTCAACCTTATACTGACTACATGCCATGTACTTAGGGCATACAAACCAAGGATATGCGGGACTATGGCTTGCGTTGATTTGCATTACGTCGCATTTGTTTTAGTTCAGCTCACGTACGGTAAAAGTTGAATTGGTCTGGCCATACCAACTGTACCTCACCACCCAAGGTCAAAATCTCGGGCGACTGTTTGTTTCCCCTCGAAGGTGGCAAGCTCGCTAAATCATAGACAGGACAGGTAGACAGTTTAGTCTGTCCAAAGTCAACCTAAAGCCCATCTGCCTGACCCATGCCTGCAGAACTGTTCGGATTGGGCGAGCGTCTGGAATCTAAAAGGATAAAACAGATTGGAATGGCTTTAGATTGGTTGTTGAACATGGATGCGTAGAAGTTTGTAGAGGTACCGCGGAGTCGGAGTATGTGGAAACATTGTTTAGCCGAGTGGACTGGGGAATAGGTCTGTCAGCCTAGCTTTTACGTCGGTTAGGTTGTTTAACTTTACTCCCCGTCTTTTTATTATCCTCTGCATCGGTCGTGATACACGTGTGCTTACCATTTTAGTAACACATGCGCACGCTTTTCCCACCGCGGCAAACTTGTAGATTTTCCGAACCTTTCGAATTAGATATTGAATATTTTTTTCCAGTCCCCCATTTATCACAGGCTTGAGAATTGTTCTAGTAAAGCACGGTTTTCTTTGTGGAAGAGTCTGGATGCGGTGGGGGTGATGGAAGCGTTTTGTAGTTTCTCCTGTGGGCTCGATTGGGAAGGGTGAGTGGGGGGGTTATGTAGAGGCGAGGAAGGGGGATGGGAGAAAAGGAAGGAGGGAAGTATGGGGGGGAGTAGGGAAGTAGGAAGAAGGAAGGTAGGAAGAAGGAAGGTAGGAAGGAGAGAAGTAGGAAGGAGAGAAGTAGGAAGGGATGACATATAACATACATGCCCACCTACATCTCCTCCGCCCACCTAAACAACCTCGCCATCCCACCGCACTAATATAATACCATAGGCACAATACACTGTCGTCTACCATGCTCTCTCAATCTAAACGAACCCCCTAAAAGTAGCTTGCTAACGCCATTGTCGATTCTATCTATCCCTTTTTATAACGCCTCAAGACCGCGGAGACAGGACATAGTCGTGTAGGGGTATGTACGGTGCGAGAAGAAATGAAGGCTGTGCAATCACTGGACGGTTTTCTTCTATTCGGATCTTGGGTCTCGCTGGTCTGGGAAAGTGAGATGGGCGGGTGAGCGTGTCGTCAGTATATTCTGGCTTTATCCACTAGATTGAAGATTCCCAATTACATCCTTTCCTGTAGCGGCTGCACGATATCGTAGGCAACAAGATATAATCAAGGACCTTTTAATCCGACCAAAATATTGATGGAATATATGCCACATTTGCACGGATAATCATATCCATCATCATGCCCTGTGACCCTATCCCCAACCCTCTTCAAATCCCCCACACTACTCCAAATAAAACACCTCCTCCGTCTGCCCCCACCACCCAGGCCCGTCTTTACTCCCCATCGCCCCCTCGACAGGAGATTCCTGCATTCCATCCGTCATGCGCCACCACTCCTGCACCTTGGGGTTCGCAGCCATGCGCGCCATGTCTTGGTCGAAGGCGTGGCCGACGTATTTGAAGGAAGCGAAGAGGGTGGGGCGTGGGGTGAGGGAGAGGAAGATGGAGTCTGTTTTTTTGTTAGTTGGAGAGGGACTGGGGAGGGCGTGGGGAGGGGGCGTGGAAGGAGGGGTAGGGATGAAGTACAGGGTAGAGGGAGAAGTCGGGGGCAGGACATGTCTGTGGTGGGTATGTGTGTATGTATATATCAAGTACAAAAAGTCAGAAGTAAAACGCATTTCGCATACAATCTTTTATATTCGAATCCTTAATCTGCTCCAAGACCTCTGGCCAAACCGCTGCATGACACTTTTTATACTCATCGATGCATTCGGGCTTCAGGTAGATCCATTGGCCTATGCGGCGGGGTCCTTGGTTTGTCTTGGACGCCATACTGTGTAACTGTATCTTCAAACGAAATCCCGGGTGTTTCTTTGGATTGTTTCAGGTGGAAATTGCGCGGGAGAAGGTGGATGTGGGATGTGTGTGTGTGTTGAATTGGATGTTTGGTTTGGGAGGTCGTGGGCGTGGAGGGGGAGCTGTGAAGCTAGGGTAGGTGTCGGGGGGTTTTGTACCGAAGATTGCGGGTTGGGTCTGGACCGAGGGGTAGCGGTTATTGTGGGGTAGCCTGTGGGTTGGCAGATGGGTTTGTGTGTCTTGCAAAGATTTTTTGGGAGTGAGGGCGATGGGGATAGTGAGTGCTGAGTTACCGGGTGGTCGGTTGGTGTTGCTGGGAGAATTAACATACTTGATGATTGTGAGCTTGTCCTGATGTTGGTTGGGGATGGAGTAAGTTGGTAGTGTACAAAGCAGTATGTTGCCTATCTTCTTTTCTGTTTTGCTAAGGGTGCAGTCAAAATAAGGGGAAAAAGTAACAATTCAAGATATTCTGCACGGGAGAAACGTTTGCTGGAGTTGAAATTCACCAACAGCTCGCTGATGTGAGTATCACCTACACATTGATAGTACACTTCGTTTTCACAGGATTTGAAAACTGTCACACATACGACCTCCAACGAGTATACAGCAACAATAATCTCTTGCTCTTGGCTCTTCGCAAATATATACATCGAGCCGTGTGCTCATGACACATAACTGGAGTCAATACTCCACGACACATAGTACCCCTTTACACAAGGTACCTAAAGTCCTTCATCAACTTCTGGCCGTCCTCTACACTAATGCCCTCTGTCCTGGCCGTCTGTTCCGCCACGTCTCCGTGCACAACCCACGCGTCTGTGCCCTCATCCAGCCTCTTGTTCAACCTCACGAGGATGAGCTTGAAGATGTAGCATCCGACAATGGTGACACCAAACATGGCCGTAACCACACCATAGCTGTTCCTGTATCCATTGTCCTTCATGTTCCACACGTAACTGCCCGCAATGTTGCCAAGTTGCGAGAAAGCGTTGACCATGGCAATGGCGACGGCGCGCTTAGCAGGGGGACGAGGGAAGGACGACGAGATCCACGAGTAGAATACGATGAAACCGGCGTACGAGGATGCTTGGAGAAAGAGTGCAACGTAGCGGCCGGCCGTGTTGGAAGTACTCATGGAGATGACGAAGCCAACCAGACCACCGAAAATGGGGCCCACAATGTGCCAGAAACGTTCTTGTTGGCGATCGGCATGCCATGCGTTAATGATGGAGACAATACAAGCGAACGCCCACGGAGGAGCGGACATGAGAAGGGTGCCGATGCGGGAGAATCCGAGGGTTTGTGTTAGGGTGGGGAAAAAGGCGTTGAAGGAAAGACCAACGACGTAAGCAGTGAACGTCAACATCATGACATAGATCTTGGTATCCTTGACAGCCATGAAGAGACCGTCAAAGACTCCTTGTTCTTCCGAATCAGCGTCTACCTCACCAACGTCCTCGGTCATGCGGAGCACAGCTACTGCGCGCTCTTCTTCAGTGAAGCCGCGAGAGTTGTGAGGGAGATCGGGAAGAATGAAAGCTGCTGATATAGCAATGGCCATTGTGGCAGCCCCCTCTATCCAGTATAGCCATCTCCAAGCACGATGGCCAAGTACGCCCTCCATGTTTCCAAGGACAGCAGCTCCGACGAGGGAAGAGAAGGCGTTGGAGATGAGGTTACCGCAGAAGAGGAGGGCGTTGCGAAGGGTTAGTTCACGCTTGGTGTACCACTTGGAGAGAATAAGAAGCGCTCCGGGCAGGAAAGCAGCTTCGGTAAACCCGATGAAGAAGCGGATCGCGACCATGCCGGAGAAGTTTGTGACGATTCCGGACAAGGTTGAGATCATGCCCCATGCAAGCATAATGACGGCGATGTACAGTGACGGACGCGCGATTCGGTTGATGATGATATTCGATGGAACCTAGGGGTTGGGTGCATTAGCATCTTAATGCTTTCAAGTGGACACTGGTTCGTCATGCTTACCTGCATCAAGATGTATCCCACGTACAGGATACTCAAACAGGTCGCATACTGGGTGTTGTTGATACCGAGATCTTCTTGAAGACCACCAAGACGGGCAGAGGCAATGTTGTTACGATCGAGATCTGTCCATGAATTAGCTTGGTTTCTCGCCGTCTGTCACTGAGGTAGACATACAGTTCATGATGTAGATCAAGATGAACAAACTACACCGCAAATCCAACTTGAATTTTAACTTCTTCTCGACCTCAGCCCTTCTCTCAGGACTCATGTTCGCCGCGAGCCCAACACCATGGTGGCGTTCCTCAACCTGGGCCTTATTATCGAGCGCGCCATCCTTTGTGTCGTTGAAGTTCGCCATGACGTCGAACAGGAACTTGGTCTCCCACAACAACGAACGTGTGAGGAAAAGAGAAAGGACCCAAGGGATTTCGAGCCAACAGTCGGGGGTGAGCAAGCGCCTCTTATAAGGCAGACGGGGCCCATGTCCCTGGATTGATTTCGCAAAGCCGGATACCACCTACACATACTCCACAACATGCGGGCGCTCCATAATCCAGGGAGTCGATTGGAGCCGCACGTATAGTAGCATGCGGCCATCCAACCCCACGCGCGCCCGGCAATACTGTTACATCACTTGCTGAACTGCTTCTCACACGGTCCCTGCGCCAGCCAGGCAATGCAATTTTTTCACTTCCAATGGCGCGTTGGGAGCCAAGCAGGCGCGCCGCACGACGGTTAGGGAAAGGCGATCGTCGGCGAGATTTGACCATAGTGCTTCTGTAGCTTCCCCGCAGTCCATCCGCGATGCCGCATAAGGCAACGAGGCCGTCAATGAAGAGGCTGCCGAGCGGCTTGGCCCGGGGTTTGACGTGCGCAGGTTGCACGGCGAAGAAGTCTTGCGTCGACGGCAATCATATCGGCCATGCTTGCCGACTTGTAGAGTGATGGCAGGCCACTGGTGGTTGGTAGCGTAGCCGATGAAGCATGTCTATCAATCGATGTTACCATGCTTCTACTTACCGTACCGGTGCCTAGGGACTTGACTGTGTAAGGCATATACCCGACGTTACGGATTTGCCTTTGGGGATCTGACGGAAATTGGTTGGAGTTCTGGCCGTACTGTAATACCAGGATTAGGTACACGGTAGTAAGAGTAGATTCTTCTTGGTTGATCGATACAAGATGGGAGGTGACGAGATGAGGACCTTTGTTCCTGCACTTACCTAGCTACCGTACTGGTATGGTACCGGTATCCGATGCCGATGTCCGATGAGCCATCCCAAACGGTACCAATACCGGTACCGTATCCTCCCCCTTCGCATCTCACAGGCTTTGAGCCACACTCATCACACACCCCAGATAGCACTATGGATTATGCTCTTACACTACCTGAAAATCTCCCCGCAATACATAGAAAACGTACCTTCACAAATGCACGCCATGTAGCCATCGTAAAGCCGCAGCCTTCGCCTTCACGGCCCTACAATACGACAGTCTTAGCAACCCGGACACCAAAGGCTGACCTTGGCCCACAAGCTTCCGCCTCTACGCCGCGGTAGAACATCGGCCGACTTTTCATCAGATGTCCTCAGCTCCCATGATTCGTTCACGCAGACAAGCTTGGGAAACCATGCCCCACGCCGAGTACTGGCACTGTGGAGTCGAGGGAATTTCGCCCGCTCATGTGAGGTGTACTTTGCCGTCTACACGGACGGGAGTCATGCGCGCGTCGAGAATTGGGAAATGGTGGAGATGGACATGGCCGTCGAGGCGGCCTGGAGGACGTGTGCACAGTTCAATTGGAGGCGTGCACGACGGTTTGTATGTTTCAGGATTTACGTTATGGGTAGGCTGCGAGATGGAGATTTGCGTCGTTGTGACGATGGTCTTTGGCGAAGCACAAGGATTTCCGCTCTACTTGGATATTCTCTGATACTTTCCCGTCCTAACAACCACCATATACCGGTACATGCAATGTCTGGTTCTCGCGCTCAGCAAAATCTCACACACCAAGCCTCTCCCGCAACGCCGCGCCCAACAAACTTCTCCAAGCACAGCGATCCCGTACGGCTCATCTACGGGGAAACATATCCTACTTCCTAAACCCCGGACGCTAAACTAGCCTGGAGGTGGCGTTTTTGCTGGGCAACAACTGCCCATTCTCCAGCTTCGCCGTCTTCTGCGTGGTGGGTGGCCAGGATGGTCAAACGAAAAGCTGACGTGAAGTTGTCACGAGCCAAACGACGGGGATACCACATCTATGAAAAGTTCCTTTTCTCCATTCTCAAATACTTGCCGTGTTCAAAAAGACAAGACTACATGCCATCCGTGAACTTTGTAAGTGGATAAGCTGAAGCCTACACAGGCTTACCAAGCGCGCCGTGATCCTACATAGACACCCTAGACACGACTCGCCTTTACTGTGTAAAAAACAAACCCCCGAACCAAGGCTCCATGTGCATTAGGAGTAGGCACGGCACGGTAGATATCTTAGCACATCCCAATCTTCTAGACCCTTCAAAGCGTCTTCTACTACCTGCATATGCACACAACACACACAAGTGCAGTATCGTACCATGCATGCTCCCACGCGCAGGACACAGCCCGAGATGCCATGTTTCCGGGGAAACATGGACCCCAGTACCTGGGATTTCCGAGCTGGGCCCCTGGGCCCGACTGACTGACTAGGTACTGTGCCGTGGTGGAGACGTGCTGCGTATATTTTTTTCTGCCCCTCCTCCTCCGTCCCCTTGGGTGCGGCGGGCCAAGAAAAGAGAGAGAGAGAGAGCGCAAGACCGGATCCATTGCGAAGCCGACCCGGTGCGGTGGCATGGAATCAGCGTCCAGGTATGTTGTTTCTGGGGTTTGGAAATCGAGGGGGATGTGGGGTCGAACTAGGTACCTATACCGCAGCATACAATACATACAGTACTTAACGCTCCTCCATGCCCCCCGTGCTCTCCTGCCAATGTACCGGTATATCAGTCATCGCCCTCACTAGCCAGCAGAATGTGGTAGGTAATTTGCATACATTCGCAGGGACAACATGATAATTACATGTGCGGACAGGTCGTCGCATGATCTCCAAAAAAAAAAAGTTCTCGGCTGTGAAAGTGTAAACACGGCACGACATGTCACGTGTATCCCTGTTGTCCTTGTCGTTATGGAACGGTGATGGAGGGATGGCTCGAGTTCACGACAGGAAAGCTGCAGTGAATCCATCCATCACTAAGGAAAATTGATTCTACTGTTAGTCGTAGAAAGAGATCAGGGAGATGAGAGCTGAAAGGAGAGAGAGAGAAAAGAAAGGAAAACTGTGAACTTGCTGTCGAAATTCAAAACTTCTCATGCTTGATAGATCTGCAAAAGTGGCAGGACTTGGTATCGGAGGGCGACCATTTCGCCCTCCCCATACTCAGCCATGTGGGACAAACAAAACCCCTTCCCCACCCTCAAAGAAAACGCCCAGGTTGGATAAACAGCCGAAAAATTGCATGCATTCTCTCCCATCTTCTTCTCCCATCTTGTCCAGGCTCATTTTTACCGAATCTTTGATTGAGGGATTGCGTTTTCCTATTCTTGGAGAAAAGCTCACATACGCACACATATTTGCTCTTGCTGGCAATATTCCACAACAAAAATGCCCTTCCTTACAATGGCTCGTAATCCGCACTCGTATCTCCAATCCAGCCAAACCACAATGCAATCACGGTATTCGCCATCACCCACAGGCCTGCGTACCCCGCCGCGCCATAGATGTCAGTGCCGTTGAGCGTCATGGCCTTCTGCACCGTCGTGCCAAAGACGAATGCGTTCAGGATCAAGGTCTGGATGATGAGTGTGCGAGTCCTGCGATCAAAGTACCAGACATTGTGTTTGACAGTCTGGGGAAGCGTGGCAACCGCTGCATCGAACTTTTCGGTGGGCGACTCAGCTCCCTTCGGTGGCTCGGCTGCAATCGAGGGGTTGAGCAGGAATTCTTTGACGGCGAAGCCGAGGGCGAAGACCTTGGCGGCAGCAGACACAGGGGTCTCGAGGTACGAGTATTCGACTGATATGACATCGAAGTAGCGGATGAGGAATGCATTGAGGACACCGGTCTTGAGACCAGCCCAGAGTGCGACCACGTAAACCCCGGTGGCTAGGATTGCACTGGAGACTTGCACCTGCACGCTGTTGAGTAGGTAACGGTTGTGCAGCGGCGCATCCCTCTTGTGGACGATTGAGCGTGGGCGAAGCAGATAGGTTGGGATGGCAAAGGAGAGGACGTCGATATTGAGGTGTGCTGCTACCGTGACCGTCGAGATTTCGTAATAGGTGCTGAGGAGGTAAAAGTATGGTGCCTGGGTGAGGACGGTGAGCGCGGCTACGTCGAGAACTTTGGGAGATTCCGAGTTAGCTATGATGCATTCATTGGCTCATATCCTCCTTACAGTCATAGTTCAGATACCAAGTCATCCAGACGGTGACGACGCGCATCAGACCGCGTGCTGGTGCCGAGTAGACGGAGAGAACATCTTCTTCCACCGTCGGGATTTTGCTGATGGCTCCGAGCTCTGGTTCCAGGTAATTCTGCGTGTATTCTCGCAGTAACGCGTTGATGCCCATGTTCAGTACGACGAGCATGGGGAAGCGTAGGGCGGACGGCAGACGCGACCGTCGCGTCCGAGTGTGTGTGGGAGAGACGACAGCCGGCGCCTCGCGCTCGATGATGGTAGGTGGCGGCGCCATTGCGCGTATCTCTGTGTCTGTGTCTGTGTCTATCTCTCTCTCTCTCTCTCTATATATATGTGTGTGTGTGTGGCCAGGGATGAGGGTGGGGGATGGAAAACTGAAGAGCAGCAAAGGCAGATAGATGGTGGACAAGTGGAGACGGGGGATTGCGCGCGCTTCGCGTGGTAAGTGGGAATCTGTGTTGTGGCTGATGTTATGATCTGCGTCATAGCGGTCGGCCCACTAAACATTGCTTTGCCTGGCCCTCCCTATTCGCTTTGCTAGGCTAGGCGTCTAAGAATAAGAACAACCACAACAACATCCACAAAGACCTGGGCTACTCTAATATTCAAACTCTCCGAATATAGGCACACAGGACTTGATTGTATACCGTTCCAATTCAATTACTGAGTGAAGAGTCGCTTTTTTTGCCTAATATGTTACCTTACATCTACAGTCATTTCATCCATGATAGTTAATCCCAAGAAGCCGGCCTTGATATGCCCATCATCATCCCCCTTTCCTCTTTCTACCCATCCGACCCCCAGAAAAGATGCCCATGTACCCCAATCATGATGACTTTGTAACGGGCCAGAAACTCCAGATAAGCAAGCCTTACCCACTACCCATCCTACAAAGGCTAGGACGGATACAAATGCAGAAAAAAAAAGCGAAAAGAGGTAGTGTGGGAGTAATGGAAAAATTTCAACAGATCGGGACGTATCGTACGTCAACTTCACCCACGGCAACCCTTGGCGTGAGGGCATCTGCAGGTACTCATCTACTGCCATCGCACGACGTCAGGCTAAACACAGAGGCAAGAAGTCGTCTCTTAGGTCCTCTTCCTAGGGTTGGTCTGCGTTCGCTTCTTGGAAGGCGTCTTTTGCGAATCACCCTCGATGTACTTGAGCAGATCCTCAATCTTGCGCTGATCCACGCGGCTGGCCCCAGTACGCTGACCACCAGCAGCAGCGGCAGCATCACTAGCCGACGGTGTGGGGGCCGCCGGCCGGAGTGGGTTGCGACCGGTGAGTTGAATACGTCGGATACGGCCCTTTGCCAAATCGTTCAGCTGCTTGGCTTGACTGACTGCACTTTGCGTAAGCTGTTCGAGCCAGCTCTCCGCTTCCTTGGTGTTGCGATCCTCGGCACCCAATACCTCCTTGAAAATGTTGTACGACTCGCGCATACGGTTGACAGCGCCACGCATGTCTTTGTCAAGAGCAAGCGACTGAGCAGTCTGGAACAGCAGGGTAGCAGTGTTGATCGAGTTCTTGCCAGAGACCTCCTCGCAAATGGCAAGAGATGCCTCAAACCAGATGCGGGATTCGTGGTATTGCTTCATCGCCTGCAACATGACGGCCGCGTTGTTGAGCGTGGTGATGGAGTCAGGGTGATCGCCTCCGTAGATGATCTTCCACAGCTCAAGCGCGTGACGCACATAGGCAAGCGCAGCCTTGGTGTTCCCCGAGGCGTGCTCGAATAGTCCCAGGTTGAGGTAGGCAAGCACGGTGTCGGCATGGTCGAGACCGAGTGTGCGCTCCGAGACGATAACCGCCTTGTGGGCAAGCTCGAGAGCTGAAGCCTTGTCGTCTAAATTGTAAAGCAGGTTGGATAGAGTATGGTATGCACGTGCTACCTCTGGGTGCAATACCCCATAGATCTGCTCATGAAGCTGGAGAGACTCGAGGAGCAGCTCCTGCCCGAGCTCTTTTTGATCTTGAGCAACAGACATGCGACCGGCCTCCAAAGCCTCCTCCGCGAGCAAACTCTTTGGCGAAGCCTCCTTGATGACAGGGACAATGTTCAAAACATCATCTGCGTGAAATGTCTGCTCTGGTAGGTTGACAGCAGGGCTCTCGGCACGAGGGGGCGAAGGGTTCTTGTTCTTCTTCTTCTTCGACGATGCCGTGTGACCGTTCGTCTGAGGAGCAGCGGGAGCCTTGGCTGCGGCGCCGTTGGCATAGGCCTCCTTGGTAAAGGCATACTGCTTGCTCTCCAACTGCAGACCCAGCTTGAGGGACACTTCGCGAAGGAGCTGCAGCTGCTTGCCAGGCTCGATCCAGGACTTTCCGAGATCGTATCGGTACCGCAGTGCAACCTGTGCCAAGACTTCCTCCTTCAAGCTCTCGGGATTGAGCTTCTCGAAACTGAAGTCGGCCTCGGGGTACATGGCCTTTAGGCTAGTCTCACTTTCAGCAACGGGCTTAGCATTGACCTCAGCGCCGAGAAGGCAGTTCAGAAGGTGAGCGGCAGCAGCCGCTGCAAAGGGTGCAGGAACGTTGCGCAACTTGGAGTTGGCAAAGTGCTTGAAGCCACGCGCAATCATCTCTTGGATCACCAGGCGCTTCAAGGCTTGTAGACGCGGGTCAGGCTTATCAGCCAGCTCAGCCATCTTTCCAAGGTAGCGGATATTCACTCCGCGCTTGTGGAGAAGCGTGCTCAATGACTGGCCATCCATGGGGAAGCCGACTTCGCCTTCCTTGAGCTCCTGGATCAGGCGAGGAATGACCTCAGACAAGAGGTGCTCGCAGGCTGCGCGGACCTCAGCCTCATCCTGGGCCCATTCCTTCTTGTCTTCCTCTGACTGAGGGGTTTGTCCAGAGAAAACGTCTGGATTGAGAGCGAAAGAGAAACCAGAGATGTCAACGCGTTCCTGTTCTGGATCCTCTTCATCTGCCTTCTTCTCTTTGGCGGCTTTCTTGTCTGCAGCCTTCTTCTCCGCCTTGAGCGCCTTTTTGGATTTGGGCTTCGGCTCGGCGTCAGAGTCTTCCTCCGATTCCTCCTCTTCGGATTCTTCTTCTGATTCATCGGAACTCTCCTCTTCCGACGAGCTTTCTTCCTTATCCTCAGCCTTCTTGGCAGAAGCAGTCTCCTCTTTCTTGACAGTCTTCTTAGCTAGTTCGTTCTTGACGTATTCACGCAGCTTGAGGCGACCATAAGACTCAACGAGCTCTGGGCGGAGGGTTGCCATGCGATGTGGGTAGTCCTTGTCTTTCGGCTTAGTCTCGCCATCTTTGCTTGGTTCGCTCCAGTACGCCTCGATCCATGAGACGTCCAGAGGTGTCAAGCGGTAAAGATCTAGGGCGTACCGCCTGCCGTCCGTCCCAATGAGACCCTTGGTTTCCACACTGCCTTCAAGCTCATGGCGAACATTGTCTTTATCCCACACAGGATGCTTCTTGACGCGGAGCGCCTTTGAAAGCTGCTCAAACAAGGGAACGAAAGACTTGTCGTCTGCAACAATCTCCTTGCCCTCAACGGCACCATAGTCAATCTGGTGCTCTCCAGGGTCCCTCTGCTTGAAGATACCAGGAACAATACTTTGACCCACGATGCGCTTGCCAAGGTAGTCCACAACAACGGTCCCAGATGTGAAAAGGTTCGGAATGTCGAGGTTGTTAACGGCGCGTACACCGACGACATCTTTACCGACAGCAACACGGGCCGCCTCGTCACCCCCTTCGGTGCCGAAAGTACCCACACCATCAGCACCAAATGAGTAAAAGATGTTGTTGTATACGAAGATCTGTGCATCCTTGGCTTCTGTGGGGTTCAAGGGTGCAATCTCTCCGCGAGCTACCAGCATGGCACCACGCGTCGGTGCATCGTTATAGTCAGCGAACAGCTTAGATGTAAGCCGCTCGCGGAAGACACGGTCATGCACAGCCTCTTTGGGCATTTCCCGGGTAGACTGGAATTCCTCGTTCCAGTCGCGCAGCGTCTCGGTGTTCTCCACACCCGAGATGAGATAACTCTCTTGCGTCCGTGCGAGATCTGGCTGATGTGTGGTGAGCGAGGAGTTGGGCGCAGGCACCAACCAAGGGTTCGCTGGAATGGCATTCGACAGTGCAAAAATAGTGAGCAGCTCCTTCTTCGCATTGTGTTCGAGCAATTGCTGGAAAGAGGCACGGAACGAGGGGGAAAGTTCCTCAAGAAGGGTGAGTAGCGAGTGGGCCTGCTTGGCTTTGGGTGCCTGTCGTGGAGAGGGGTCAAAGCTGGCATTGGAAGACTTGTTCACGTAGAAGCCGGATACGTGACTGGTGATGTGATGTTGCTCGTTCTCGTTGGTCGTGACTACGAGATACAACAGGTGACCCTTGGATCTCAGGTGATAGGGCGGGGGATTCCATGGCGACACAGCAATAGACTTGATCGTCTTTGGCGGGGCCTCCTGTGCTGGTGGTAGGAGGTTTTTGACGTCTCCTGAGGACTTGAAGTCGTAATCTGCCAAGGGCGACTGCTCCGGGCCATCCTCCTTTGGCTTTCCAGCCTGGTCGAGTCCAATGGTGTCGTGCAGCGACAGGCCAGCCATGATTCCGTGCAGCGCATCCGTGCGGTCACCCGCAGCGCCAATGAGTTCCCGCACACGAATGACGTGTAACCTGGCTTCTTTCTCTGTGTATGGATCCTCCACCAAGGTCAATGTCGAATCAGCCTTGAGTCCTGGAACCTCGGACAGCTCGACGTAATCGTTGATACGCTGCTTCTCATGTTCGAGATGGAAGCACGAGTACTGGAAGGTGTGCGGCATCTCGATGATGGATTGGCGAAGGTCCTGCACCTGCTCGGCCGTTGAGATCTAAGTGGTGTGAGTTTGACTCTTTGAGAATTGAAAAAAAAAGTAGTATGAAGAAAAGTTTGACTTGGGTAGACGGACCGTCATTTGCATCTCGAAAGGCTCATGTGGGAGCTTGATGGTGATCTGGAAGATATCTAGACTGCCATTAGCTTTTCTCTCGTCTTCAATGGGGCATCTGCATCTGCATCTGCATCTACAGAAGTGCACATACTGTCTGGCTGCTGGCCATTCACACCATCGCCATCTACCTCCCCCTCTGCCTGCGCGACCTCTCCATGGCTTTCCTGCTCTTTGGAGGGAGTCTTTGCGACTTCGGCTGGACCATTGACGTTAGCCATCAGGTCTCACAGAATGTTGACGTTGAGCGGTGCAATTATGTCACCTGTAAAAAGTGTCGTGTGTGGGTGGGTGCACGCTGCGGGCCACTCACCGGACTTGGAAGCGTCATGATCGCTAGCGGCCATGATTGCGCGAGAGAATGGCAGCAAATTTTACCTCTCCAAGAACAGACGGCTGCACGAGGACGAGACAGAGGCCTTGCGGGGGGATGAATGGTATGTACAAGAAAGGCGCATTAGTCTACAGATGGGCGGGTACAAAAAAAAACCCCCACTGGCCGAGGGTAGTAGGTAGCTCGGCGTGAAAAAGCTGCTCCGACATAGGTTGACTACCTTACCCTATGTTCTCCAAAATATTTTCTGAGCCCTCTCTGAGCCGCCGCCGCCGCCGCCGGGATGAACCGCTAACCTCTCTACCCGGCTTACCAGGTAGGCACATAGATTTGGGTACTTGGGTACTTGGGTACTTTATATCGTTGCTAGGTACCTGTACATGTACCCATGCATCCATGTCCCAATGTACTTGTCAGCCTTCCTCTTTACCCCGCGCAGCCCTGCCATTTCAGGTTCGCTCATCAAACCTCCACCAGGCTCGCATCTCGACGCTGTCTATCATGAACTCACCAGCGCGACTTCGAGCGAACAACCCAACCAGCTCGCTCACGAGTCACAATCACACGATGCCGCTCTCCTGCCGTGGGGCTTGGCCACACCCATTGATGTTTGAGCTGAGCTAACTACCCTAACTGCCATGTACCATGGTGCCCGCTTGGCCAGTGCGCGTCAATGGACAAGCCCTCGCCAGCGGTGTCTTAACAGAGCCTGCGCGCGCAATAGCCCCTCTTGCACTTCTCCTCGTTCTCCTCTCCGTTTCATCCGTCTATCTCTCTTTGGCGCCGGTCGGTCTATCCAATTTCTGCTTCTCCATTGTCCTGTCCTTTCCAGCCCTGTCGCACGGGGCTCTTGACACGTGTGGTCCCGCGCGACAGGTAAAGTAACTTTGGCTGAGCTGTGATCGCACCTCGCCCCCCCTAGGCCATAATGTTAATGATACGACCCCTCCTCAAGACTTCAATTGTGCGCGCACGTGCTGCCTTGCGATTCCAACACCCACATTCCTTCTTCTCTCGGGCTCAGCAGGCTGGCCCTGTCCATTCATGTACACTTTCCTTTGTGCGCTCCCTCAGTGGTCAATCGGGCCCTCCTGCCCCTGGAAACGATGCGCCAAACCCAATCGATGATGCTACTGAAAAGGCCATTGAAGAGGAAGAGGAGCGTCAGGCGAACAAGGAAAAGTGGAAGAGCACAGCGTGGAAGATGTTCGAGTCTGCTGCTACTACCGGAGCCAGCATATTCATCCTAGCATGCGTAGGCATTGGCTATACAAAGTACTACAAGTGGAACGTCATCGAGAAGATGGAAAATGCCTTTCGTGAGGGTGATCCTGTCTTGGAGCTTGCAGCGACTGGAAAGGAAATTCCTCGTGAGCCGACGCGGCTGGAGGCTACCAAAGGCATGCTGGAAGAGGACAAGAACTACGATCGATGGATACCACGTGATGAACAGGAGAAGATTGACAAAATCGTCTGGGGCGAGACTAAGGGCCGCTACCACCTTTTGCTTGGCGAGAAGGGAACTGGGAAGACGTCCATGCTCATCGATGCCATGGACAAGATCAATGGCGAAGGCTGCTCCATGATGGAGGCACATGCCGACCTGGAGGTTTTCCGCATCCGCTTAGGACGCTGTCTAGATTTCGAGTTCCACGAAGACAACATTGGCTCACTATTCTCCATCCGAGGTCCTCGCGACGCAGGTGCCATCCTAGATATTGAGCGCGCATTCAACAAATTGGAAAAGGTGGCACTGAAACGGCGTGCCACCATCGGTAGACCGCTGATCCTCATCATCAATTCTGCACATCTCATCCGGGATGATGAAGATGGCCGGGACCTCCTCGAGCTCATCCAGCAACGTGCAGAACAATGGGCAGCCTCAAACCTTGCAACCGTCATTATCAACTCCGACAAGTACTGGGTCTTCGAACGTCTAAAGCAGTACGCAACGCGTATGGAAGTTCACCAAATTAAGGATCTGACCAAGGACCGGGCAATGCAAGCCCTTCGAAACTACCGAATGAAGTACCACGGTGAGATTACTGAAACCAGTGTGTTGGAGGAGGTCTACGATAAGATAGGCGGTCGTCTGACCTTCCTCAATCGCGTTGCAAAGTCAGATGATATGCTCGCCAAATGTGATCACATTTGCGAAATGGAGAAGATCTGGTTCCTGAACAACTGCGCCATCCTCGGCGAAGAAATGGACGACGATGTCATGGACCAGCAAAAATATGCCGTACGTTACCAAACCCGTCTATAAATCTCGCCAAAATAGCATCGCTAATGTATACCAGTCAACAGCCATGGTCCTAGCAAACGCCCTCTACAAACGTTTCCAAGAAATGGATGTTACCTACAATGAACAAGTCGGCCACATACTCCCCGCCTTCCCCCTACATCGAGCCCGCTTCATCATGACCCGCTCAGACTTCATCCGCAAGCACCATGACCTCTCCATCTTCTCGATTGACTCGCACGCCATGGTCCGCGCCGACAGTGTGCCCATGCAGCGCGCCTTCAATGAAATCTGCGCCGAGCCAGGCTTTGAAGAGTTTCTCGAGGCAACACTGGATCGAATCAGTTCGATTGAGAGTTTGGGTCGCACCAAGGAGTTGACATTCAAGGATCTCTGGGAGGGCGGCAAGTACAGGATTACGACGAAGGATGCTAAAGGAGATGTAAATGGGAGCTTGGAAGTGGAGACTGTGGAGGGGAAGAAGGAGGATGGGAACGACAAGGACGAGGATGATTGAGTGGGTTGAGTTTGACTATCTTTGGCATGTGTCTGCGAAGTAATGCAGGTCATGGCTGGTGAAATGCGAAATGCGGGGCTGTTGGGTTGTACGATATGAATACCTTTTTTTTGGGTGGCTCTTTTGTTTCTTCTCGGCGCCGGACATGTTGGCTCGCTGTGAAGGTGCTTATACCCATCCTGTTTCCGTTGTCTTTTCCTCAATTTCTTTTGTTATATCGAGCGAGGTGGTGCTGGTGTGAAACTTCCTAGATTAGTTAGCTGGCGAACTGAGTCGGTGTCTTTTTTCTTGTACATTTCATGATCTTGGATAAGTATGCGCTCTGCTCAAGATTGTACCGATTTTTATAATAAGATTGTTGCTCGAATGATCTTCAAAGGACACAATGGCAATTGAAATTCGATTCTAGTGTTGGTAGGGTGCGCTGGGAGAGAGAGATCTACGTGTCGTTGATGTTACGAAAGGGTGGAGCGGACTCCCGAGATGAGTCTTGGCAATTGACGTAGCGAATGTCGCATGGGGGAGTGTCCTCTTCGAGCTTCAACTTTCCGCCAGCACCACAATGACCGCGCGTGTCTTCTGGTGGTGATAAAAGGAACCACACTTAAACATAATGGCATCTCTGCAACAGCTGCAAGGACTTTCGGGTCCTCATTGCGTGCTGCTTGCTGTACACTATGCGACTGAGTCGAATATCAATGCCCTTCGCGTCGTGACAGCACTACGGGCGGCCGAACTACCGTTGGAACTTGTTCTCAGAATCCTTTTGACATATCTCCCTGAAGAGACGGACCCCTCATCCTACTATGAATACCTCAATGAGCTTGGTACAGAGTCGCGGACGCCTGGCAACGACCCTCCTACGACTTTAGACGTCTCGGCAGTTGACCAATTGTCCAATTCACGAGCGAGAAAGAGAAGACGCACATTGGAGCTTTTGACGGTGGCACATCCTCTCTACAGTACAGAAACTGAGCTGGATCTTCTTAGCCATTTCCTCATACACCGAGCACATCGTATCGACACCCAGACTGGCCTTCTTGATCTTGTCCCACAACTCATAGTGCCTTTCCTCGACCACTCCGAATACATACGAGCGTGGTTCATCTCTACTGTCCTCCCGCTGCTTCGCCTGAGCTACGAATACTACCCGCAGAATACCACGTCCTCGCTTGACGACTTCGCCAGACTACACGGAAATCGCGCAATCGACTATCAACTCGCCAACGCACGCAATTCAAGCGCAGCAAATATACAGAATGTGGCAAGAGACTTGAAGGGCGTGGTGGCTCCGTGGATGTGCGGAGCCAATGACCGCAAGAGACGGAAACTTACGGGTGATGAGCGGAGAGCCTCTGTATCACAGGAGCTATCTCATGAGCCAGATGACTGGGATTGCCTGTTTCAATGGATATTACATGCCTCGAAAGAACACCTCAGTCTGGTGACAGCTGCACTGAGCGATTGGGATGGGCCTGAGGACATGGACCTTGGTGGTTATGAAGAGGGACGAGACTACGTTGACGACGAGCAACAACGTCTGCTGGAGATCAAATACGCGCAAACAATTCTTGCCTGCCTTTACCTTGTGGACAAGGATGATAACAACACATTACAGACCGCGCACTCACTTCTGAAAAGGATATGCGAGCTCCTCAACTACGACCCTCCGCCAGACCTGACCATCAGCCCTGAAAACCTACCGACCTATGACCTCAAATCTCCATTCTTGCAAGACTGCACGACATCTCTGCTCCGAGAGGAGCGCCTACTGGATCTGGAAAACACCGTTACAAAACCGACCCGAGACTCTGTTCGCGTCCTCGAACTCGTTTTGTTTTCGTCATGCGTCTTATCGACTCTACAGCACCCGTTGTCGCTACGAGAAGTTGCCAAGATGTCACTCCGAGATGATCATCCAGAGCAGTTCTCGCTACTACAAAAGATACTGCACACGGTCACAAGCGGATCGAAAAAGGACAGTGATCAGTGGACAAGTATCAGGTCAAAGTTGCTTTGGCTATGGAGTTGGGGCTCAGAGAAACGTGACGGCGATCGCTTCGCTCAAGGTATCTTGGGCATGATCGAGCGCAGGACAATCGAGATTGAGGTCTTGAAGTCCATTATCGAGAGTGGACACTACTCTCTTGCTGTCCAGCTTTATGTGCGGCCTAAATTTGGAGAGCAACCACTGCTAGCGTCTGATGTTGAGCAAGTCGTGCTATCGTCAGCAATGCATCATTACGATAATTCCAGTAATGGCAACCGTACAAGGGGTGGCGTAAAACGCGCAGCCGATATCGTCGCCGCCTTTACTCCGCACTTCTCGACATCGTCGCGATTTCAACGAATGCACGCTTTGCTCGCTGCCACTCACGCAATTTCGTATTACTCTTTGATCCTCCAGCACGGGGTCCCATTTCAGCCTGTCAATATTAGAGTCAGTCCCAACCCCTTATCGCTCATAAGGAAGCTTTTGTTACAGAATCTAGGGAGCTATACAAAGCTGGACGATCTCATCTCCATAGGTCAAAACCTGGTGGTTGCCATGCCTGCCACGATAATAGATGAAGATCAAGACGCAAACCAGATGAGTGCAGAAATCATGGAAAGAAAAAAGGCGACTGCAGCACGTCGCGTTACCGGGATGGCAATCGAGGCTGCTTTGGAGGAGGGCGACTTTGAAACGGCCTACTCCTATGTTGTCAACCGACTTACACCGATTGCACCGTCACCAAGCCCCTTTCCATCCTCTCAAAAGTTCTCGTTCGGCTCAGTTGACTCTGAAGAGCCCGAGGATGATGCGGAAGATGTAGCATGGCGAGCTGCATTACGAGCAGGGCGCTATAGCTCGTCCAACACTAGCTCATGGACACCAGCTGGGAACACAGCACGTCCCGATCTTCGTAGATTGGAGCAGCGTATGGAGCTGCTATCACAGGCCCTACTTCTAGCGCCACCAAGACATCTCGAAGAAGTGCTCGGGGTCTGGCAGGAATGCGAAGCTGAAATGATGGAGTTGCTTGCACAAGAAACAGAAGCAGAGGAGCGATTCAACGATGCAGCAGATCGGAAACTACCCGGTGCCTTCAATATGGAAACGACCACTGTGCAGCCTCGTCGTGAAGTCGGTCGTGGCGCAGTTGAGGAATCGCCCATGGGACTGTTCGATGTTGCTCGAGGAGCAGCAGCCGCATTCTCCAAGACTGCGTTCCCCCTTCGAGGGAGTACACAACCAGCGACTGAGTCTCAGCCAAGACAGAGTGTTGGTGGATCGAGTCGTGTCAGCCTGGAATTGAGTGACTCGGGTAGCATGGCAGGGCACGATGACAGAGTGAGAAAGCGAGATATGGTCGCTAGTGCTGCCACAGGGGCTTTAGCCACTGGTAGCGGAGCTCTGGCTTCTGGTCTCGGCTGGGTGCTAGGTGCGTAGGATGCTCTCTGTTTCTCCCATCACATATACTAACAGCCATGTAGGCGCGAAGCCGGTCGCAGAGCGAGACCAGAACTAAGCTCGCATCACATGGTCAAAAGTCTGTATGCTTTGATCCAACTATTATTGCAGATATACACGTACGTCCTGCATCACTCTGTCTGTAATCGGAACACATTGCCCATCATTGCCATCTTGCCCGTTTCGACCGCCCATGGGAAGTACCTTTGCAATCTGAGCAGCACATCCTCCTTTGTCTATGTCCTTTGCATTTCTTATGCTCTACACGTGCTCTAGATCCCCTGTAATTCTTACCTATCGCCTTGACAGCATGCGACTGCCTAAATAGTGAACTTCGAGGCGCACGGACGTGATCGCACTACATAGGTAGGAGCAATCTTGCCCAACGCCAGCTTTTCCACCACACCACACAACACACAGCAGCAGCAGCAGCAGCAGAAATCAGACACTCAGAACAATATGGAGTCTGTTGGCGAATACGTTTCGCCTTCAGATACTATGGGCAGCGCACTGACTGACGAGAATGTAGCAGACAACAAAGCCAGCATGAAGTGCATCGAATCCTATCTACAACAACATGTAGCGCAGCAACACAAGTTCGATCATGAGATTGAGAGGGTCAAGATTGCCATGAACGTGTGCGAGTTCATCTTACGTGCACCCATTCGGGAGCTGGAAGCTAACAGCAATCCGAACACCGCTGATGGCACATACGAAAAACTTGTTTCATGCAAGAACACCATGACCATTGCGCAAGAAACCATGCAAGAGGATGCTGGAAAACTGGGAATCCTAGCCACCGAGCTGCGAGCCTTCATGACAAAGCTCTGCGATGAGCGCGATCATCTCCACCAGAAATTTACTGGAGCTGAAGCACGTTGCAGACGCGAGCACAACCTCAATCAAAACAATCTCAGCATCATCGCTAGGCTTGAGGGCAAGATCCAGGACTTGACTTCGATGAACATTCAAACCCAGCGCGAACTCAGTGAATTTCGATCTGAAACTTCGGGGTACGTAATACTTGAGGTGAATGACGCGTTCATGGACGTACTGTCCCTCGCACCCAAAGCAATTCTTCCGCCAGTGTCAAAGCTTAGACAATCCGAGCTCATCACCCATTTCCTACTTGTTGATTGATTATGATCGAGTAATTAGCTAACTATATGTCTATCCCCAGAACCCAAACCAAGCGTCTCGGTGAAGTCCATGGGACCCATCTAGTTGATCGGGCGCAGACCTTCCAGCACGAGAATGCACGACTGAGGGAACACATGAGCGAACTGGAGAATGATGCCGCTGTTATCAAAAAAGAGTTCGCTCAGTTGATAACTAGTCTGGATACTACAAATGCTGGTTTTGGTACCATTGAAAACTGTCAAGATGAGCATGAACAACACAAGTCGGCCACCGTATTCAAGCCTGCCGGAATGGCTCACGTACTCTTCAACACGGTGCGCAAGGACGACGAGTTCATTGCGTACTACCGCAACTGCAGAAGGGCATATGTCAAGCACCATCTTCTCCATGAGCAGGTTGGGGGTGAGGATTCGTCACGCCTACAGAAGGAGTTCGCCAGGGTCGATGGAATTCGTTGCATCAATATCAGCTACGAGTAACTTGTGCGTAAGTTGCCGATCGTGTTCGTTGGGTCCGTTGCCCGAGCATGATTTGGATATCGTGAGACGTCAACATTATGGGTTGGGGAAGTTTGGCCCTGGTATGCAGTAGTCCATGCTACTTCACTGCACTGGGTCCGTTCCGGGAGGAGTTTGGCTTTCGTATACAGTAGTCCGTGCTACTCAGTGTACTGAATCCTTGTCTGCTGTAGTCTCGTCTGCAATGCATACACCTCCCATACTTGCAAATCCTGATGTTTCAATGACCCTCAGGCGACAATTCCGTTTAGGAGTTGAAGTGCTGTTCGACATGATGTGCAACTGCCGTTTCATCACCCTCGAACTCACCGCACACGGGACACGTAGCTACCTTCTCTGTATCCCCACCATCCTGCGCGGCTGCCGCTACCCAGTCCCCATCTCCATCTCGGCTTCCCATTGCTTCGCTCATCCCTCTCTCTATCCCTTTCCCTTTCCCCCGCCCCTTCCTCCTTGAAACCCCCCTGTCCGCATCCTCCAGCGCAGCAAACAACCCCAAACTCACCCCCGTATTTCCCCGCCTCTCCTCATCATACACATATCCATCATCCAACCTCGCATCTCTCTCGATCCTACCACCTAGAAACCCATGCCCAGAACCAACACCACCTCTACCACCCTCCCCGTCCCTCCCCAACCGCGCCCCCGCCCCACCCACAAGCGCTTCCCCTCTCTCCCCTTCCTCCTGCGAAACCAGCGCCTGCACCCTGCCCACGCGCCCATCTCTCAATCGCACCTTGACGCCGCGCGGATGGTCGCCGCGCGTGAGCAGAGTGGCGACGATGCCGTGGACGCGGTGGCCCGTTGGCTGGTCTGCTTTTAGGATGATGGAGACTGGGGTGGCGGGGTGGATATGGGCGTGGCGTGGGGGAGGGGTGG